ATTTATACAAGATTTTGTTGCATTGTAACATCAAGCAAATGTTTCGTACATTGATCTTGCGTCCATTCGTAGTATGATCACGAATGTGATTGATAAAAATGTTATCTATATACTGATATGTAGGTATATCGATCTCGCTTTCATGCATGGTACGATCACGAATGCGATTGATATTAATTATAACTATACATACACTGAGATGTTCGCCCGAAGCAGAAAAGTTCACTGTAATTGATGATGAATATGATGAATTTTTACTACTAATAATAACCACAATGCAGGTAGGTAAATTACTGCATAAAAATTAAGTACAGGAAGTGCTTAAAAGCGCAACTGTTTTAGCGATATCTTTGTGCAGTTTCGTCTTGTGAAATTGGGCAAATATGAATTAATGCTTATATAACATGTTTAATAATGAACAACGTGGGCATTAATCATGTGTCTCAACTAGCAATTAGACAGAAATATTTGTGCCAGGTCATTTTTCGAATCGAAGGCTCCCCAAATAATACAGCGATGCAACATCGTGCCCGCGCCAGTGTCATGACGGTGAGAATTCAATAAGTAAAGTTCGTAAACGAGTTTTTGATACGAACAATTGGTGGTCCAGGATCTCATCCTGAAGAGTCATCTCTTTCAAAGCACGTGGGGATAATTCGACTAGAAGCTCCGCAATTTCAAGCACCCTAAGACTCGCTTAAACCTTAATTGTAGATGGTCACAAACGCAACTATTTAAATTTGGGCTACAAAACTCGTTACTGGCGTCTGAATGCTGGCGAATTTTGAGGAATAACACAGCTTAATCGCGCTAGAAGTATCAGATGAATGTTATTTCCAGAGGACGTATAATCAAGAGACAAGATCTGTTTTCAATATCTGAATAAAGCTTGATGCTGCTGAACCTATGGAAGTACAGCTTTCATGAACGCTTTGAATACCGTCAAGATATCGAGTTAAATATTATACTTGGGCAAATTATCTTTACCCTTGACTCGTTTCATTCAGAATCAAGACCTTCTTTAATCCCCCAAAGGGACATGGCGGTCAGCTGCCGAGAGATGAATGACCTGCCTTTGCGTCTCTTTAAGAAATATTGGCCTTTGACTGGGATATTTATTGCCTGGGCCCTGCAGTCCTAGCCATTTAACCTCATAGCTGCCGCCCATTCTGAGAGCTCTGCACAAAAGCGCTAGTAATCCTGAGCAATGGGAAATTAAATGAGTTTGCATGAATCCGTTTTTAACTATTATTTTAATAAACGCAATTTATGTTTTTTTGCGTAAAATGTCCCTATAAGTTCAAAGTAAAAATTATTCGAGCCAAATTTCGTATGCTTAACCAATACAAAACTTGTGTTTATGTTTCGCGTTACTGTAATTGAGCTCGACTTGATTCCTTGTTCTATACCCAGGGATGTGAATAATGAATAATCCCTGGATTAATAATGAATAATAATAATGAATAATAATGAATAATCTTCCAGATTGTAGAACCAAAATATGAAACGATATTTAAAAATTATGTGCAAAGTGAAATGTAAAATAATCAAATATAATCAAACTATATGAAAAAATGTTGAGTGCATTGTTGTAGAATTTCAGTTTAGAAATTAGTAATGTTGCTGATAAATACAATAATTCGTTAATTTAAAAAGTCGTTGTTAATTGGACCAAGCTCGGTCAACTTTTAAACTGGAGAAAAATAGTAGAAATGGTTTATTTCCACAAACTTTTACAATATTGGTCACTTAAAAACTTAACAGAATATTTTGGACAAAAGAAACACAATTAAAGTGTTTGCTTGTGAAAGAAAAGTGAAGCTATAACTGGAAAAAGCCACAAAACAGCGGAAAGCACTCAGGTCTCGGCCGTCCTATTGCCATCAAAAACTTACTGGGTGAACTATACTCAACGTCCAGGTCCATTTGCTGATACAATGTACATGATTGCTTGCTGACAGTTAAAAGAATTCTTACATAGATTTTCCCAATAAATCTTGGATTGGCTGCGCTCGATGCAGTTTAATGTAGATTTAATGTTGCGTATATTAAGTGCTTGTCATGTAAAATTGCCCCCAAAAAGTGCTTGCCATGCATAATTACCTCAAAAAATTATAAGTATAATTCGCCTCCTGAATTTGGAACGTTCAATAGAGAGTTGATTATATCACGAAAAAGATTTGGAAACATAGAAGCGATTGGACAAGCTACATTTTCATTGATCACAATTGTTTCTATAAAATTTGGTCTATTGCCTTACAGCTCATAGGTCCAGGAGAGAAGAAAAATATGATAAATTCGCTATGACAATGAATTTTTTAGAAGGTTTGTTGAAATGCGATTTTATGTCACTGCAAACTCTAATGTTATTCAAAAGTTTGTTTGCAAGTTTACGATGTAATATCGCCATAGCTCAGTCCTAAACGATAAGAAAAATAAAAATGAAAATCTGTTAATATGATGACGTTCAGCGCAAATACCAAAAAATGCTCTCTCAGGAACGATAAAAGTAATTGAAAAACTTTCTCGACTAGTCTTGTGCTTGTTGCAACCATTTAATTAAGCAGTTAAGGGGTGGAAAGCTTAGTGAAATACAAAAATTTTTTTGGACGACTTAAACACTAATCATGTTGTTATTTCTGATAGGAAAATAACTAACGTATTTTATAAATAAAAGAATGAAAATTTACGACTTTCTAACTTTGAATCTATATCACTTTTATTCCGCTCATCTTGTAAAAAACTTCGATGGCCAAATGAGACGGTCGCCTCTACTTCAAAACCTCATTAGTCATTGCTCGTGAACCATTATCGTGTCTCTCACTGATCTTGATTTGGTTCTGGCGAAATCTTCGGGAAGAAGATGCAAGATGCTATAGCTAGTCAATTCTTTACTACCGGGTTTTCGCAATTCAGATGATATATATTTTTAGCTGGCGTATTTCTGCGTTTGTTTGTCTGAAGCCCTACTTGATAAAATGGATGTAGGAGGGGTGCGTATTTTACGCGTCCCTAGCAGGAGCAGTTATTCGGACCTTACGCATATAAATGTTGCATGAATTCCCATAAACATTTTTAATATTTTGGGATTTTTGTCTATTCAGATATAAATCTGAACTTTTTCTGTATGTACACATCATTTTCGTACACTTACTATACAGTGTAAACATTGTCGACATGTTCCACGTTAATTTTTAATAGATTTTCAATACAATTTTCATACATTGACCTGCATTTTCATGCATTTATGAAAAGAGAACAAAATTCTACTTTATAATTTGATAATTTTTGGCATTAATATATTTTAATGAGCTTTTAAAGAATTCAATTATACACAGAAATGGTGTTAGTAAAAAATTTCATGTCTATGGCAATCATGTTTTTGAGAGCTGCAATTAACGGTTCTACTGCAAAGAAAAGAAGGCACGTATACAATATTTGTATCAGTCTTGTCAACCAGAAGTAACTATCATATAAATCGGGTACCTTTTAGTTAAACCACTTATTAATAGCCAACAATAAAAAGCCGGTAATTTCACTGCGGTTCATTTATGAATCGAGTGGATTGCAGAATTGGAAAATGACTCCGCAAGTTATTTTCTTTTTTTCTTTATTTTTCAAACTGAAGCACATCTCGTGAGACTTTGAACCCAAATACAGAGTTGCCTAACTCGAGTCTCAGGAGCAAAGATCGAATGTTGACAGAGCTTCGACTGTCCAAATACTCGAGAATGGCGACTCGGTCAACAAATCTGTCCGCTATTGCAATAGACAATGCAATGAACAAGAATTTTGAAGCTAAGACGATCTTATACAATTTAAAATTAGAGGGGATATTTCTGAACAACTATAGCAAATGCGATAAAAACAATGTGTATAGCCAATAGCCAAACGAAATACACAGCACTTGATGGTGCATTTTTTTTTCTTGCTGTTCTGGAGAGGTGATAAGCGACAAATTCGTTTAAAAATTTATCGGGGAAAATAGTCCGTATATTATGTATTCTATAAATAGTAAATGTCGTATAAATGCGTATATGAAAATAAATAAAATAGTGTCGTATAAATGCGACACATAGACAGTACATCCTTACTATTAAGTGACCAAATCAATTTCCGAATCGAGCTGCTGTTTGCATGTCTTTCCGGTCATAATATATCTAACTGATTATAATCTTAACTATAGGCACAGAACTCTGGTAAGGGAATTACGAAAAAGTGAAATTAGAAAAAATGTAGTTAAGTAAATTTATTCGCGCTCCAGAATTACTGGTTGACTAAAAACCCTTGCTAATGTTAAACTTGAGGGTAACGTGCCCTCGAAGTTCATTTGAACCAGACGACATAATAATAATAATAATAATAATATTAATAATAATAATAATAATAACAATAGTAATAATAATAATAATATTAATAATAATAATAATATAATTATATTAATTTGTATTAACTCTGTCGGACATATTAACCGAAACTTTTTTGTTTTTCAATCACCTGTTTATCTTCGCATGATGGTCGTGATGGCGCATGCCGAGACATAATTTTCGGCTTCATTATTTGGTACTTTGGATACCTCAAAATTATGAAATTTCGTGTTAAAACAAATATTTTTCCGTAGAATACTTCGCGAATCCAATTTAATGGTGGATATAGTGATCTTTAACCTACCGAGTTATTCGATACTTACGCTTAAAATAATGTTAAGATATGGGATGTTGAAGCTGTTCATTGATAGCGAATTTATTCATCTTCAACTTAAATTATTACAGGATCATGTCGATTTGACGCCTTTCAATTACAAAAAAAAAACATTATTCAATCACCCATATCAGCTTGTAAAAGTTCTGTTTAATAAATGAACATGAGGATAAAATCAGTACTTGAAACTCTCTAGCTCAGCAATAGTAAGCACAAATAAATTAGGTTTAGTAATTATTTCTCTAGCTAATTTAGTTATTTCCTGGTGAACTCGCTGCTTCTGTAGTGAGTCTCGGGCGCCTATACTCCAGTTGTGACGGGCCTCATCTGAACCAAGTAACTAAGTAAGTAGTCAGTCTGCGCCGGAATGTGATGGTGAGAGGATGTGCAGTTCTGCTCGGGTGGTCGACTGAGAGGGGCGCTCGCGTGTTGCAAGCTTTCACAGTCACGCCCGATAAAAAGTGATCAGCGAAGTCATAACTTTTGATAGCATCTCAAGTGACTGCATGATAGACTCATCCATCTCCCACGTGGGTGGAACGAGTCTTAGCAGGACACACTAACCATCACGGCTAAATTTTGAAAAAAATTTCCCTCCGGAAATCTGATGGAAAAATACTTCCCTCATAAGTCTCGTGAAAGATGGATTCATTGATCGTCTGTTACAGAAACAAGTTTACTTCTTCTATTAAATATCAGAAATACTCAGTTCGGTCTTGTTTTAAACTGCCTTTCCGTCTGTAGTCCTAAAAATTTAGAAGTGTGGAATTTGTGTTCACTGCAGCCTACTACTAAATTAGTACTGTTGGATCATCGATGAAAACTAGGAGAATGCAACTTTAACCATGGCGCAATTAAGGAGTGATTTGTGCATTATTCACTTGCATAAAGGACGTGACACTTTCAGCCAAAAAACAGTATAATTTTTCCATTATCTCATCTGACCATAAACTTCTGAACAATTAACTATCATTATCTTCTTTACAGGCAGGCATGAGCTGGTTCTATCCTTGGTTATTCCCATCTCGAGGAATAGCGTTATTGCCTTCCAAACTTGATGCTTTTTCTTCCACTTGTATGCAAATATTCAAAGCTTAGCTCATCCTACAATTAGAACGATGCCTCACATCACTTTATCTTTCAAATATTTTATAAATTTTCTTACTGATTGCCCAATAATCAGGTTCATCAAGCCATTATCGTCGATGATACCTCTTCTTATTCTGCTATGTTCTTCTAGTTTCGCCTACAATTTCGATACGACGAAGCACGTTATTCACTCTGGACCCAATGGCGGCAAGTTCGGCTTCAGTTTGGCCCTCCACAAAGATGCTGAAAAGATGTGGTGAGCATAGTTTACGATTCCATGCATTTATTTGTGTATAATCTAATTTAATTTATTATTGTGATTTATTTATAATATTGATGCATATTCACGGCTAATACTCGATGGTGTCTAACAATATACTCGATGGTGTCTAACAATTTTTGTCATTCATGAGGGTATGGCAGCTAGTGCGGCTATGAACAGTCGCACTACGTTAATCTCACATGCATTCTGCAGTTTAGCAAGACCGAAATTATTTCTTCGGTTGCCTATCTCTTGACGTGAAAGATATCCTGAAAATGAGCTTTCGAAGAATCTGAGGTTGCATGTATGTAATCAGAACTGGGCAGCGCTACTTTGAAATATAGCGGCCGCTACCGCCACCACTACATGCTCTAAAATCTAAATGTATTGGGCGCTACCGCTACATTACTTAAAATGTAGCGCCGCTACCGCTACTGCTACTGAAAATGTAGCGCGCTACTGGCCACCTCTGGCTCACAACTAACATGTTGACACTAGTAACAGCACTAACAGTCTGAGGTTGACAACATTACACCGAAATCTTTCGTACAGTTTTATTCTGTAATTTATATTATGTATGTGTCATGCTGGTTTTTAAATAATATTTAATACTATTAGTAAAATCTAAAGGCTTTATCTATAAATGTAGCGGTAGCGCTGTAGCGGCAAAACCTCGTATCGCTACTTATAAATATGTAGCGGGCGCTTTACCGCTACCGCTACATTTCTTGAAATGTAGCGCCTCTACCGCTTCCGCTACATGTAGCGCCTCTACCGCTACCGCTACATGTAGCGCGCTATTGCCCATCTCTGTATAAAATAATTTTTTTTCTTGGGAAATAACGTCATATATGTAACCCCAGATGTTTCAAAGATGTTATTGGGGGCACCTTTAAAGTCAAGCGAGCTTTGGACCGAAATATATTTTTTTTGTACCCGCTCAACTGCCATCTTGCAATCGACTGTGAATTGAAATGAAACAAATTTAATGTGCAAAATTATGTCCGCACGTTTGTTTCACTCTTCTTTCGTGACCGATGGGCACGAAGAACGATCGTTAATAAGTTTATATTTCGAACCCGCGCGTGCGACTAGAACGCAATTTTCACACATACAGTGGGGGGAAATAAATATTCGTACACTTGAAAAATCGTATTTTATTGTATGTAAGTACACAAACTTAACAGGAAAAGTGATTTAAATTATGTATAGAGACGCATAGTATTCAAAAATACTATCAAAAGAAATTAAATCTCAATGCAACAAAAAACAATTAAAATACGTTAACTATGGTTACTGATTACATTAATGGAACGTGCTACATGTTTCTAGTACATTCTGGAATGTTCTGGTGTGAAATATTAGTCAAAAGTTGTTTTGTACGAATACTTTTTTGACCCGAAGAAGTTAACATGTTGCATTAATTTTTGTTGCATTGAGATTTAATTTCTATTGATGCTATTTTTGAATACAATGCGCCTCTATACATAATATAAATCACTTCTCCTGTTCAGTTTGTGTACTTACATACATTAAAATACGATTTTTCAAGTGTACGAATATTTATTTCCCCCACTGTAAATCAGGTTGAGAAAGTCGTTAAAGGAATCGCGTTGGTGACGAAAAAAAGGAAAAAGATTTTCCCCTAAAACCCAATTTTCCCCTTAAATTTTTTTTAGTATTAACCATTTGAGAATATGATGAAAATTTATATAGTTTGCGAAATATTGTTACTAAAAAATGGCGGTTCCAAACTGTGGCACGCTTACCTCGTACCATGCAGTGGTCCTCGACGGCCATTCAGGTATTCGTGAACTCCCTTTCAATTTACAAGTAATGTTGACTGTCTCCCACAAGATAATCTTACTACTATTTGCAACAGTTGAAACCCGCCATACACTTGGTTCCATCGACAAACCTTCTAATCTAAATGTTATACCCACTATAAGCACTAATTGTAAGCGCATTAAGTAACATGTATGTTAAGCAAGTAATAAATTACAGCTAGCGGCTTTTTGTAATTGTTAGTATAATCGTACGTAATTATACATGGTAGCATACGGAAACTGTACGTCTTCCCTAAATTTTGGGGATCACTGCTCCAGAACTATTTTATTTTCTATGAAGAATTCATGTCATTGAGGAGAGAAGACGTGTCCCCTCTACACAGTGAAGTACAGTTGTCCTGTATTGATGAAAATCTGAATAGCATCCTACTTCATCCTAGCTGATGGCTATGCTGACGGGTTCTGCAGATTATCGAGAGACGGGAAATGTTTTGCTGCTAAATCTTCTGCCTCTAGCTGTTGTGTTTTTGGTATCATTTTAGACTTCAACCAAAATGCGCCGAAAGATTCTGTCCTTTAACCGTCACAAGAAATGTTTCCTCGTGATAAGTCCATAAAAAATCTAACTTTTATTTAGCTCAGAAACTATACAAGGCATCGAGCCTGGTTTTTCCCTCTGATCTCTTAAGATTCCCCAAAACAAAGCAAATTGGTGTTCTTAGAAACAGGAAATTGGATAATAAGAGGGTGGCGTTCCTCGTATTTAATGGTTGCTAGATCGTCTTCCTTTCCCTGAATCTGAGCTCCCTTGGTGCGTTCCCGATTCCCTGTTTTTGTTGCACGAGTTCGTAAGGCGGTTGTATTTTTGTCCGTAATAAAACTTCACATAGTCGGGCGCGGTACGTACAAAGAACTTGACGGGAAACTGCGTACGCATTGATTAGGTTTGAACACTCCTAGAGTGACTTCTCGAGCGAATGAAACACTCGTTAGTCAAAGCCACGCGGGCGCTGCTAGTATTTTTTTACGTCTTGGACCGGTTCTCTGACGAACATCCTTGAATCTTTTGCAATTCTAAAGCCCAAAAAGGAGAACAAGGGTCGAAGATTTAAGTGTTGGTTCAATGCTTGGAAGTAAGTGCTTTTCTTTACCATGAGTGGCAAGCTGATATTCACCCTTCTTCGTTTAAAGATGCTCTTTATTTCACCTCAAGTTCAGAACACAATATCTTCGTGAACCTATGACCTATTTGGTCACACCTGAGACTGTTATGATGCTTTAACAAGTCGAAATCCTGTTTATTATTTACGTTGTTCGGACTCAACAATGGCGTCTGGAGGTTATGGCTAGCAGGTTGCTGGCCCTGCCTGGCCCTAAATAGGCTGATGTGATTTTGTTTGTGTGCGCTGCAGCGGTTGTGAGTGGTCGTGTTTGTTTGAAGAAGCTTCCTCTTGAACGCCTTATCTTGACGGCTCTGAAGCAAGCGACTGTACAAGTCTGTAAGCAAGAAAACGCATCCAACCTCATCCCGGAAACGAGGAAATTTTTTTGCAATCAAAGCCTCGATATTTGGGATTATGCTCTAGTAGTTGACAAGATCGTACTGATCTTGTCAACTTGACTTATCAAATTTAGTTGACAAGTGGCTTTAAATATTATTGCCGCTTGACAATACTTAAAAGACGAATGGTTCAATGAGAATGCATTCATGGTTAAGCTTCAGCGTATCTACTGGTTATTTTTTTCATCACTTCATTCTGAGCATCACAAAAGAAAAAAAAATTGTTGCTAATGCGCTCATAAAATCCGAACGTAAGTTAAACTTGCTTACTTTGAGTAGGTAGGTCTGATGCACATAAGTGTACTGTGTACATAATATTTTGATACGTATTTTCTTTCTCTCGTGTGTTTACCTCCGAAATTTACGTAAACGAAATAGTGCAAATCATCTGGCTTAGCATCGCTAGGTGTTTGCAATTTTACTTTGTTTCCTCTTATCACAAAATTAGAGTGTAGCCGAAATTGTCCTTTCACTTCTCATGCGTTGTGTTCCTCTGTGAAAACATTATCAACAAAAGTTTTAAAAATAGAGTGAAAGTGTGGCTAAAGCGACCGTCCAGAACTCAAGTGCTAGCCTGTGCGAAATGAGTTGCAAAATTTAAATAAAAAGTAGGCTAACTGAAATTGTAAAACCCAACCATGTCAAAGAAAGCTTTTTCGTTTTTTAAGTCTTTCCTGCAGAAAATCTAAATTTAAAATGGTACGATTTCTGTTGAAAACATTGTTATCACTAATAAGAATGCTAACTGTAATGATTTCATTAGTGTAAAACGAATGTGAGCTAAGAATTGATCTAATTTTTTTGTATCGCGAAACTTACCAACATATATTTGACTGGCTAATCTTACTGCAAAAGCTCCGCGTCAGAAGACGGATGCATTGCAAAGTTCCTTGCGCCCTTTTAAAGTAGTTTTCGAGTTTGAGGGTATAGTTTAACTGAGATGTTGTAGCTGTTCTCAATCTAAATTAAAAATTAACAATTACGCACGTGCATGCATGTGCAATAATGTAATGAATAACGTCAACTATCTGCAGGACTTCTCTGGAGTTCTATCTTCACGCGTTGCGCAACATACTGCAGCATCACCAATAGCAGCACCAGTTGAAGCATTAACTTTGATGCACTGTGTAGCGCAACGACCCCAGCACCACACGCAGCACCACCCTCACCACACTCCGCACCACTTTCACCACACTCCGCGGCACCACCAGCATCACACGCAGCACCACCAGCACCACCAGCACCATAAGCAGCACCAGCAGCACCACCAGCACCACACGCAGCACCACCAGCACCATGAGCAGCACCAGCAGCACCACCCCCTGCAGCATTATAGGAGCACAAAGCGGTCGTTGTGCCTGCGCGTCTTAGGACGTGTCCCTCACGTCCAACTCACATCCGTCTGCAGCTCTCTTTTAACTGCCATCTTCTATCATTTTCTTCTACCGTATAATGCCATGTTTTACTTAGCCTAATTTATACCTTTGTAAAGTTATGCATTTGTTAGATTATTGTGACCTTCATGTTTGACGGCCTCAACTGTTTACTACGTACAGAAGAGCTAAATAATTTTTTAGATCATTAAGAACTCGGAAACAGACTTCGGCTTACAAATCACATAATTTTGTTTTCGTTAAAGATATTTT